CCATATGATTCCTTTGCATCAAAAATTGAATTAAACATCCTTTGCATTTAAAAATGTTAGTATGAGTGTATACTGTGTTAGAACGTGGAGAGGATGGTGGATATGGCATCGTCTAAAGTAACTTGATTGCAGGATGCGTGGACCTGAGCTTCATGATAAAGTTTTATAAAACTCAGTATCTGTTTCTCCACATTTAGGGCATTTTTTTATGAATACTTGTTTACAATTATAAAAGGAATATAATACTTCCAAAATTTTCCTATTAATGCCTCATTTATCTCTGCTTAATTATAGATTCTTTGTAGTATGGCATCATAATTGTTCATGCCTTAATATCAAGACAGGTTTTATGTGCTGACACTTTTGATATTTCATAGTGTAATCCATTGTATTCTTACACACATAAAGATAAGATTGATGACTTCAATCCTGGACATATAATTCTCTTAAAGGAGGGTTTTTTATATTCAATATGGTCAGGGAGAGCATAGATATCTAGAAGAAGGCTTGTCAAACTCAGTTGCCTCAGTGGTTCCTAGGTTGGTTTGTGGAATAACAGTATTAACTTGATGGCAGAAATCATTCATATTATCCTGGAGAGTGGAGTAGCATATGATAACGTGATCTATTGAGGCTTTGGTATCTAGTAGTCAGTAAAGGTTTTAATTTCAGTGAATTAGCTTGCTACTTTAAGTAATAAAGAAACGCATCTGTCAAACATGAATTCAGGGCTATATCCTCATTTGAAAAAAGACTTCACCAATACTTACTAGGTTCTATGAGCCACATTTAGCAGAGCTTTTCAAGGCTCTAATCTCATATTCATAGCTTTAAGGAAAGATGACACACTAATCAAGCTCATATTAAACTCCTTTTGGTAGTGATGAAGCTAGGACCACCATTTGAAGGTAAGTCCTCACAAGGTAGCCTCAGAAGGACCGAGCAGGGGCCATAAGTATTGACCTTTTTACTTATGTTTAAAGAAAAATTCATAAAATAATGCACAGTCATTAGTAATCCTAGCACCAGCGGAATCTTTTAGTAGACTTTGTGTCTCTAGAGCAGTCTCTTGGCCTAATTGGTGTTGTTGCAAGGAAAATCTCAGCTAATTAAGCAGGCTAAATCTCTATTTAATGTTAATAAATCTTTAATAAGACTAGAAAAAAGTAAGTATCAAAAATGATATATCTTTATTGATTATAATATGGAAGATTTATCCCTTTGATATAAATCTAGGACTAAATAGGGTAAGGTGCTTTCCTTAAATATTTAGTGAAATGTAGAGAATTTTTGCAGACACAAATTTTAGAACCAATATATAAAGTTCAGAATATCTCTGTGTGGTAATATCTTTATTTTCTAATCCAGTATATTCAGGAGCGGTTCTAGAATTTTAATTACTCATCTCAAAGTTCATTATGCGTTTTAATTTCAGTAACTTATTGAAAGGTGAAACTCCATTGCTCACATTGCAGATTAACTTGTGTTTGAACCTTATCTAAACAGCACAGTCCCACTATTCCTGACAACCTCATTTTTATCAGCCCATGCTTTCACCTAGAAGTTCTAGCTGTGGTGGACCATGCACAGCATCATTAAAGTACCTAATTTTTAGTTCAGTAACACTTGATCAAGGCCATCAGCAATTATAAACAAACTTTATACTAATAAAGTCTCCCTTCCTTTAATTATGGTGGGGTCCATTGACATGTTGTATACATTACATCTGCTTATGAATATGCTCTCTTGGAAATTTGCAATCAAGTGCTCCAGGATCCACTTGGTGGAGGCAAATTTGGGCAATGGCATGGTTAGATTAACTCTTCCAGAACACTTGAAACATCATCCCATTTTCACGTTTCTCATTTTCCCCTATAAGTGGATAATTATACAGTGATAAAGCCAATTTTAGTCAAGGGATCAGAAGAGTCTGAGCTTGAGGCAATCTTGGCCTCGCAAAAATCCTGCCATTTTGCTCAGTCATTTAGCCTGGAAGGGGTTTCTTTCATATGGTAATATTTAGATCAGCACCCATGACTGTCCCCTTTTGGTGAGCTAATGATGGTTTTTATGCGCTGCACCCCAGAGCTTTCCATTCTCCCTTAAAGATTTCTTCTCTTGGCTATTAAATTGCCAAAGACCCACAATAACGTTACTCTTGCCCAAATCCTTGGTAATGGTGCTCCCCATATCCAAAGAAGGAAGAATAACATAAGCATGGGTGAGCACCCCCTGCACCTCAACCACAAAAATTTTCATTCCACATGAAAAAGAGGGTGAAGAAGGTGGCCATCTCTCTTGTGTCCCAGGGCAACTTATCCCATGGGGTGGATGAGAGGTTAGTGATGACTAACCCTCTCAGATTTTCCCCTTTCCTCCTTACCTTAACACACAAGAGTTGTTGCAATGATTTGCATGGTGTTTGGATGTTACGGCAGTAATAAGCCACTCCAGTGGTAAAGTGGTGGTCATACCTTTCCTTCAAAAATCATGGTTCCTATTTTTGGTCTATTAGTATAGTTAAATTAAGGTCTAGCTACTTGAGTCATCTGAAATACGCTCAGATTTAAAACCCTGCCCATGTGTTTCATTTCTACCAAAAATGCAATCCCACTTAAAAAGGTTCAGGTGCATCAAATCCTTTCATACCAAATCAGATCTTCTATATATGGCCTGGATATGGGCACATCCAGTTGCCAAATGTATAAAGTGTTGATGATCTGCCAAATGGATATGTTCTAGGAGGGAAAATTTTGGCAAATTTTAAAAAAAGTCATCAGGCTAAGATGAAGCTTAATCCTGTATCATAAAAGTTTTCAAATGTCACTCTGCTAAAATCAGATGAGATTTCATTATCCTCAGTTAATGCAAATTTACATTTTTGCTAATCTTTAGCAATTAAGACAACTATCCCCACAAGTACTATTGTCAGTAAATTTTTTAATGCTTGTTTTAGTAAAAATCTGTGCAGAATTTTTATTTTTCTACCACTATCTATCTGCTAGCCACTACCCAATAGGTACAATGTTCCCATGGTCTACACAAAACTGGTCCATAGTGGCTATCAACACAATTTTGCTGCCCTCTCTTTTTAATAGGTATGCAATTATAGTGGCCTCCTGGGGATGTCCCCGATTTTGGATGTGTATGGCATCAGGATGTAGGCTTGCTTTTGGAGATACTTTCTCCCTGGTAGGCATAGTTTTGTTAACCTTTCCATGCGCTCAGCAACCTGTGTTTCCAAAGCAAATTTGGTGTGCCTCTGGACCAAAAAGAAACAACAGCAATAGAATTTATGGCTACCTTTGATGTTGTGGCATTTTTGTTAGTAGATATGATGGTACCAATGATTTTTAGTCACCATCCCTCAATCATTTACTTTAAATCAGATATCAGGTTATATGGATGGATATGCCTCCATATTCTGGTTTACTTTCTAGTTATTTACTTACCCAACTATCAGGCTAGTTTTATCTTTGCTAGATGGCTCTATGACAGGGGTTATCAATGGGATGAGGGTCAAGTTCATTTTATAGTAGGTTGTTAAGGGTGAGTATGGCAATAACCATCAAATTTAAAAATTATAAAAAGTTCATGTTATGCAAAGAAATAGAAATCAGAGAGGGAGGCAAAAATGGTGAGACTCAAGCGTGTTACCTTTGCATTTGGGTTGATTTTTCTACCATAGTGATGGTGCAGACTGAAAAAGTTGCTTTTATGTAAAGTGTGATTATTTTGCACTTGGCGATGTCAGGAAAGTGGTTAAAAGGTAGGAGACATGCATTTGTTTAATAAAGTGACAGATTTTAAGTTCACCTTACTCTGTGGGAAACATCTTGGAGACACCTGCCATCATTGCAAGCTATAGGTTGGTTTTTATTACTATGGGGTGGCATGTAACTTAGGTGCATAATGGTGAGGAGGGAATAAATTAACCTTTTACTCATATCAATAATTTATAAAGTATATAAGACAATTTTTTTCTTAATGAGATTATCTTTCATTTATATACATCAATATTTTTGTATAAAAATTATATAAAGATTAGTTGAATTAATATTAACTAGTTGTATCAATATGATCAATCTATTTTATTATTACATCTTCATGGAAACTTAATAGTTAATTATATTAAAACAATAACTACTCAATTGAACTTAAATAAATATCAACTTTTCACTGACTGAATGGTTAATAAAATTAGCCTATTAAACTGACTTATCTGTTAATAGAGCCTTGTGTAGGTGGTAAAGCACTAGATCACTAATAATTAAATTATAAATTATCCAAACTGACTGATAACTAATTAAGAAATTATATATTAAACTTGTTGAGTATTTACTAAAATAATTTTCCATCCATTTTTTAGTACTAGTGGTGCCCAACCCAAAAGAGGAGCCATCAAGCATCAATGATTTCCATCCATAATACTTCTATTTATAGTTTAGATTATTAGTAATTTATATAATACTAGTGGAATGACCATGCTTTGCTATAGTGCTTATAGATTACTAGATGATCCTAATTTTTAGTTTTTATATTGGTAGATAGCCATCATAAGTTCAGAAATCATTAAACCTATCAAATATTCCAACCTCCAGCCACTTAGCTAAAATTTATTAAGGCTGCCAAACTAACTAAAACATAATCCCTTACCTGAAACTATAGATCCTATCAAATCAACAAAAAAGAAACCACAACTCAGCAAAAATTAACTATGAACTTAAAAAACAGTCAAATATTACCAACCACCTATCAAAGCCTATGAAAAAGTTAATTAAATGATTATGAAATTCCTAGATAAATTACTTATAATTATCAATATTATTGTTTTAGATCTTATATAAAACTGTTAGTATATTTATATAATTTATGCTAAAAATTACATATTAACATTCAGTTCCCAAGCTTCATATAATACTTGTGCCAAGTTTTGAGATTTTTGGTTATTTGCTCATGAGATAATGCAACTTTATATCTAAACAAATAAAGGGGATGAAGCTTGTGTGGCGCAATTTTCTAGCGCTTAAGACTGTTGATCTTGAGACTGCTGGTTTGATCCCAGCCACAAGCGATTCTTTGTTAAGGGGTTAGCTGAGCAGGTAAACTGCTTCCACCCCAAGTGTGGTTTTGAGTTTAAAACCTGCACTGGTAGAAAAATTCTCAGTGTGATATTTGTCCCAAGGTTGACCCACCTTGATTAATTTTCAAATAAAGGGGAGGATACCCCAGTGTTAGAATATGGACACACTACCACTGCTTTATTGATTTCAATCCTTGTACATTAGCTTTGGGTAGGGGACAACTATGACTGTGTTGGCTTTGTGCATTAATGCACTGAACCAAGATAGCAAATAGCAAATGTGGTCCATGAAGTTCCTGGCCTATCATATGCTGCACATAGAGGTTTTCTGGGCTTTATCTTCTTTTCCCATTAATTTGATTCCCTTAATTGGTATGGTATCATCCCCAGGTTGGCTCATCTCTAATAAAAAAATAAAACAAATAAGCAGTTTGAAACTTTTGTAAAGAAAAGTTTAAGCAAGCCCTAAGCTGATAACCAGTTTAAAACAGATTTGTTTGTGAGCTTAAATTTTATCAGATGATCTTAATATATTGTTTTTTATATTGGTAGGTGGTTATCACTAAAATAAGAAATCAAATAATAATGAACAATTATAAAATTACCAACCACTCAACTAAACCAATTAAATTTATAAAATTAACTAAAACATCAACCACTTACCTAAAATTATTGAGCCCATTAAAACAATCAAAATAACCAACTACCTCACTCAGATAAAACCAATTGTTAAACATTTAAATCAACCAACTACAAAAAACCACTAATACCTTATCAAAATCAATTAAGTTATTAAATCAACCAATCACTAACTGCTTTATTATAACTGTTAAGCTTATTAATCAATCCAAAACTACCAACCGCTTGCCAAAACCATTTTAAATAATGAATCAGCTGAAGATCAAGCTTCTTAGCCATAAAAATATATCAATCTCTATCAAAAACATATAAAATTTTTACTTTCAAAATAAAAAATATTTATTATACTATGAAAAATAAAAAGTTTTTCTTATTGCACATCTACATTATCTAGTGAATATCTTTGTAAAGTTTCTACTAAGCCTTGTCATTCTTGAGATACAGAGATGACTGAATGAGTGAGTGGGATATGGCAAACATATCATATATTAGTTAAGAAAATTAATAATAAAAATACATTATAATCTTACAGTAAGCATATCAGTGGAGCTTATATATTGAGATTATTTAATTGGGTAAAATTTGTGGTTAAGTTTTATATAACTAAATAAGTAAGATCCAAGGTTAAGCTTTATCTTAAGTAGATATTAGTTTTGGGTGAGCAATTTGGTGAAACTATTTGATATATTTGCCAATTCTTACCCATTTGCCTAAATAGTTAAAATTTATCATAAAATATTAGATTAGTTTCTGGAGAGCAATTTAGTGAATTATTCAATTTTTTCCAATCTTCACCCACTTGCCTATATATAGATTGAGCCTATCAGACTTGAAGGTTTCAAATGTCAGTCTGTCAGTATGTCAGTCTTTCAGTAAATGTATTTAGTAAGTAGATTTTGCACCATTTAACTGATGTTATTTACTAAACTATCTTACTTAATAAAATTATTGTATATATAAGTACATCTATCATGTAACTACTCCTAAACAAATAAATCAGTGTACAAAACTTAGCACAAATGCTTAAGGAATTTTTGTTTACCAAAGTAGGCTTTTTTATTTTTTTATATCAATAAAATAAAGAAAAATATAGAATAAAATATTTAGTTTTAAAAGTAATTATAAATACATTTTAGTTGAATAATTTGGTGTTATTTATTAATCAGATGAGCAATTTGGTGCATTTTTAGTAAAAAATAACTATATATAATATATTAAAATAAATGAAATATATAAAATTCAAATACTAAACTAAAATAACTGATTGATCTACCATAGATTTAATTTACAGCATAAAAAGAACTAAAAGTAATTATAAACATTGAACTTTAAATTAAAGTAAACTGATTATTCAAAAATCTTATGTCAAACCTAACTTAAACTAATTTTTTTAATTCAGATAAAAAAAAAATCAAGGGAACAAACATAATCAGCTCTGAAAAGGTTATATAACCCTAAAGGATAAATAAAAAATACTAAAATGTTTATCTAAATAGAAATATAATAGTAGAAGTATATTATATATTATGTAAAAAATAAAAAAGGGATTAGCTTTAATCAATGGATCAGTTAGATGATTAAGAATAAACAAAATTTAATTACAAAGATAGGAAATTTAAAACTACCTCTGATTTATATTGGATTATTAATTTGTAAAATAGTAAAATTAAAATGGAGAGCAACTTTATCACAAGATTATTTGATCAGGACTAACTAACTCTAAATAGAATCTAAACTTATCAGATTCTAACTCTATGTTGACTAGAATTAATATTGTAAATACAATTATTAAATTATACCAACATTCAATACCTCAGTTAATAATTTATTAGTCATTGACAAGACAAGTTTCCCTCTGAACCTTTCATTAGAGTTTATTAAGTTAACATTATTACAAATGCTTTACTCTGTACTACCATAATATGGCTATTGCTTACCAAATATGCAAATAATACTTATTTTTAATTTTATATCTTGATAGATGGCTACTGATAAGCATAAAGAGTAGTTTTAATTTTTTTTAACCATAAAACACCAATTAGCCATATTTAAATAAACTTATTAATCTTTTAAAAACTAAAACTATACATTGATGAATCTTTTACTAAAAAACTAAAACTATAAACTATATATGTGTATAACTAAGATTGCATTTATTCAAAACAAGATGCCCAAGGGACAGTAATACCAAAGGCACAAAGAGCAATTAAAATAAAAAATAAAACATCAATTAAACAAATGGAAAAGAAAAATTATCTAGTTTTAAACAAAACACCAGACAGGCAGGGAGTGATGAACTGCTAACCCATCATAGAGACCTGAAGAACACCCTGGACCAACGCTGGGTATGGGAAAAATATGCCCAGGTTGGGACTAGTGGTGCGCCAAATGCCCAGCCCCTGACAGCAGCCCAAGCAAGAAACAAACTATCTACCAAATTAAGGCAGATGGTTCGGTTTGCTTAGTTTCAGAACAAGGGTTAAAACCCGTTCTTGCTATGAAATAACGCGCTCAGGTTGAATCCAACTTCAGTCAATAACTCAAGTGAAGTCAGTTTCAGCCTATTTTATTAACTTGGATGGAACTATCGCCCTGTTGGCGAGTTGCTGCTTGGGCCCACTGCGGCATAACCCCAATTTCCCCATGAGAACTTTAATACAATTTCCCTGACCAACATTCCTTGTTGGTCGACATCCTAAATAAACCTATCCCCCATTTTAAGCCATTTTTTATTTTTATGATATTCCAAATGCTCCTGTGCATGAGCCTCTTTGAGGAGGTCTTGCGTTCTGTTACACTTGCCATTGCAAGTACCATTAAGCTCTCCCCTCATGCACCGTTTGTCTGCCCAAGATCCCTCCAACCTGTGCCACCTAACCCCATCTGATATGTGCACCGCGTCGCCCTTCTATGGGGTTTATTATAAAATTTGCAATATTATGCCCCAGGTTATTGCTCCAGCACCCCTGCTGGGCTCTAATCCCTCTGGAATTAACAACTAGTTACCTGTCATTGGGCCTGTGCATTGAGCATTGCCACTCTGGGAACTGGAGAGTTATAGATACTCTCCTTACATTAGTTGACCAACCACATTTTCTTATGTGCATGAACTTTTCCGCGTGGAACTTATCCAAAGTGGAAACAGTGGCCATCAGCTGTGGGCTCCAGCTGTTGTTAGCCGCACCGCTGTTTCCTCATTTTCCTGAGGTTGGAGCAACTCAGCATTATTTTGGTTGCCTCCAACTGGAAAGTATCCACCCTTTGTGTTCATACCTGGTGGAGTCAGACACTTTGATGTCTAAAAGTCGTGATTCCCCAACTTTCCACCAAAATTAAAGAATTTCATTCTGAAAAATGAATTTTTTCAACGCCAGCGCATTCAGACAATGCTGGCGGAATCAGCGCAGAGGGCCTGGTGGTGTTGGCCTTAGATAACATTGGGCATTCCATCACAGTTTCAGGGATAGGGTCATTCGCCTCTAAAAAAGCGTTTTATAGTGAAACCCTGGCCTCTATCTCTGAACCTTTTATTTGTTCATATGGCTTGGATGTTGACTATTCCTGTGTATCAAATTACCCCTGAGAACCCACGGTTGACCTCTATCATGATCTGACGCACTCAGGAGGTGGAGAAGGAACTTCAGTTCTGATATAATCAAGTATATGCACCTGCAGAAGACATGGTGGGGTATGTGACCTCAGTATTAAGAGTGGCCAAATATCCCACCCCCTTTTTTGATTTCCAAACCAATTCTGTGTGCAGGCTTGAGCTAAATGATGAGAACTTTGATGAAGTGTTGTCATTATCTTCAATAAATAAAGACTATTCAGGGTATTTTCTATTGACTGCCACCCTCTTCTCGCCTTAATAGAAACTCACCACTACTATTTTAATGAATACTGGCGCTACTGGAAACTATATGGACCAGTACTTAGCTACTACCTTGGGCTGAGTTACTTGCCAGGTGATGTGATTAGAGGAGGGGCATACCATAGTATTCCCACTCTGAAGATCATTAGAATAATGGATTATCATGTTGGCAAGTACCACTTGTCTGATCACTTCAGTGTGATCAAAAACCTCCTGTTCCCTATCATTTTGGGTGTGGAATGGTGGCGGAAGTTTGACGTAAGAACTAACCTGAAGGAGAATACTTTGTCTCTCACCATGAAGAATGGTCGCACATTTGTTTTGCCTTTGTCCAAAGAAAATGCCCCAGGCAACTTGCCCCAATGGCCCCACCGTATCCCTTGTGTCCTTGCCTCAATGCAGAAGCCCTCAGTGGAAATTCCTATACCTTCTTGCTTGGAAGGTTTAGAATCCTCTTTTGATGCAGCATCTGCCAACGCAC